CGTCAAACCGGGTATTAGTGGGCTCAAACCCAGCCCCCGGGTAATCGTGATACCAACGCATGAGCCCGACAAAGTTTTTTTCGAGCAAGTTCATAACTCGGGGTCTGAGAAGCTAGAAGGCTGAAATCTTGGGGTAATGTTTCACGCTCAACCTGGTGTTAGTGGGCTCAAACCCAGCCCCGGGGTAAGCGTGATAGCCGCGAATGAGCCCGACAGAGTTTTTCTCGAGCAAGTTCATAACTCGGAGATCTGAGAGGCTAGAAGGCTGAAATCTTGAGGTAATGCTTCCCGTCAAACCGGGTATTAGTGGGCTCAAACCCAGCCCCCGAGTAAGCGTGGCCCCCGCGTATGAACCCGCCAAAATTTTTTTCGGGTAAGCTCATAACTCGGGGATCTGAGAAACTAGAAGGCTGAAATCTTGGGGTAACGTTCCCCGCCCAACCTGGTATTAGTGGGCTGAAACTCAGTTTCCGGGCAGGCGTAATGAGGAGCTAAAGGTATGTAATTTTATGAGGATATACCCCGTCCACCTAAGTTTCATTCAGCTCGAACCCAGCTCTCAGGCATGCTTGGTGAACATGCATGGGCCCGTGAAAGTTTGTTCCAGTAAGTTGTTAACCCAGGGGCCACGGAAGCCAGAAAGCTGGAATTTTAAGGGGATGTTTCCTGACAGTTCTGACGGCCAGTCTTAGTTTGATTAGAAGAATTTGCCGAAAAAACCGGTCCCGGTAGCAACAAAACCTGCGGGGAACCATGCAAAAAACGCATCTTCGCACGGGCAGCCCGTGCGTTGGCCATTTATTTACAATCTGTGATATACTGGTCCTCGAAGTTTAGGAAGATAATGTACAACAAGTGGTAACAGAAGTAGGAAACTGCAAGCAGAGTACAAAACCTGCCAGGAACGTCCAAAGACAAACGAATGTACAATAAGAAAATCAAAGAATAAGGCTAGGCTGAGCAACTGAATACAAACAACGGATGAAGCTTTTCCGTTGCTTGTATTTAGCTGAACTGAAGACAGCAACAGTAAACTAAAAAATTTTGATCTGTTTCTTAGCCCCCCCAAATCAGCGCCTCCACAGTCCACTGCCCATGTATGGCGAAGCACTCGGAAGCACTTCATTAACAGCAATCAATAAT